GTCTCCTGCTAGCTGCTCTGGGGGCGGTGCTCTGGGCCTTGGAGCTGTGTCTGCTCTTGGGGGCCGGGGAGGGAGGGGAGCAGATAGATGCCTACGTTTGTTGGTAGGCAGTCCGACTCCAAAGCCTGCGTGCTTGCACTACTCCTCCTGTTACTGGTTTGTGAAAAAGCAGAGGACTTCAGTCAAGCAGTTACAGGCATTTGGTATAAGAATTCAAATGAGCACTAAGAAGAGTATCTCCCTGGGGCCTCTGCATTCCACCTGCTACAGGCGCTCTGCTTTGTCATCAGGTGGAGGAAGCTGGACTGTTTACAGACATATTAAACCCAGAACTAAAATAACCCTGAAAGGGTTAAGTTTATCTAGGAAAACTCCCAAGTTTTAGAATCTGTGGAGATTACAGATATAAAGTATCAGATGAAAGTAAATTGCTTGTTGGAGGGTAAAAAGTAGAATAAATAGTTGTATATGGCTGTGATGTTGTGATATATGAAATATGTATATTTGCTCTCCACCCTGGGTTCCTGGCACGGAGCTGGTAAAGGCTTGTAAGACCCTGAGTGGTGAGGGTGAGAGGGGCGTGTTGTTATTCGTAATAAGCCCCTTTCAACCCTACCTGGGTTATGCTAATGAGGTGACTCAGGTGGGTCCTGATGGCTTCGGGACAGGGGCTGGTTGTCAGAGGAAGCAGCCATTGATTAGAGGGCTGGAACTTTCAGTCCCACCCCCAGGGGATTGAGTCAGCCACCAGGGTAGTCAGTCCCTCTGCCATGAGCCTTGTACAAACCCTACACGATGGGGCTCAGAGAGCTTCCGGGTTGGAGACACATGGAGGTGCTGCTCCCAGGGAGAGGATGTTCCTGGGGGGAGTGGGGCTCCCCGGGAGAGGGGGGCTCCCGGAGAGAGGGGGGCTCCGGGTGCCCTCCTGACACGCCTGCCCTGTGCCTCTCTCCCGTTTTGCTGTTTCTCAGCTGTGTCCTTGATAAGAAACCAGTGATAGGAATGTGTTTCTCTGAGTTCTGTGAATCCTTCCAGCAAATTATCGAATTTGAGGAGGAGGTTGTGGGAACCCCTGATTTGTAGCCGGTCAGTCAGAAGAACAGGGGACCCAGCACTTGCAACGGGCATCTGAAGTGCAGGTGCTCAACGCGCACTTCAGGACATCCCGCTGGTGGCCGCAGGGAATTGGAGAGTTGCTTAGCATAGAAAACCCACGTTTGGTGTCAGAAGTGTTGTGAATAGAGAAACTGTTTCCTTTAATGATAGAGGTATTTTAAAGAGACTTTGAATTTTTCACTTCTTTTCGGGATGCTTTCTGTATTTACTTGTTTTGAGGGACCCGTGGGAGAACTTGCAAATCTGTGATGTGGGCTGTTTCTTCCATGCAGACGCTGGGTCTTCAGCCTCGTGATTGAGGCCTGTGAGCCAGGCCCTGTGCTGGACCCTGTCCCGGCATCGGCCTGGTGGCTGGAGTGGTGTCACTGGTGAACGAGGAGGAGGAGCCCCTCCCAGCCCTGGGAAACTCAAAGTGATCCCTGTGTTCAGTCTTCCACAAGGTTTGACAGCCCTTCAGGGCGTTCTGATGATGAAGCCGAATTTTGTCTCTAGTCCTGCTTTGGCATCATCACAGCTCTGTGATTGTCACGCGGTAGGACACTTCTGAGCCAGATCTCGTGGGTTAAGAGCAGCGTTCTTTCCGCCTCAGCAGTTGCCCCACTTCTCTGGGGCATATCTCTTGGTGTGTATCGTTGGTCCCCACGGCTCTTGATTTGGTGTCTCTGGCCCCCACCTGCGCACGTGCTCAGCTGCAGTTTCCCGCTGCTCCCAGATAGCTCTCGCTCATCACGAGGAAAATGCAAGACTTCCGCCGAGTGGAGGATTAATAGGCTGGTCTGCGTGTAGATGTCACCGGAGCTCTTCGGAATAATGGGCTGTGATTTTTCCCAGGCTAATTTTTTTTCCTCCTAAACATTGAAATGAGAACAGGTGGGGGCTGGGGAAGGTAGTTAAGAGAGGCAGGGGCTTGCAGGCAGGCTCGGGCCCAGCTCCTCTGCTCCTGGGGGCTGGGGGAGGCGTGTGACTCTCACCCCATCTCCTTGGAACCTGGGGTGGGGATGTTAGACACTCTCAGACTTCTCCAGCACTGAAGTTAAATACTCTTCTTGGCATTCTGACCTCCTCCTGGGTAAGGACTTTGTTTTCTTAGTGATTTCTGGCAGGTCAGTGCCATGTACTGTACTATATCACTTTATAATGTAGACTCCCTCAATGAAACTTGTTTCTGTTTTTGAGGATCTACCTCACTTATAGGGGCTCTGCGTAATGATCAGTTGAATTATTTGAATGTGAATTCTGAATATCTGTCCTTAAAACTTATAAAAATCAGCGTTCATGGGTGTAGAACACAGTAGGCATTTGGAGTGACTTAAAAGTGTATTTTTTTCATGAATTCTTTAAGTTATGTCTGTTTATGACACATGAGTTCTCTGGTGCTTTTAACATGAGAAATTTTCTGGCAATTCTGTTTTAGGAGAGGTGAGGCAGGGTTCATTCATTATTTTTATAAACATCACTGAACCTGTTATCAGGTGTCAGCTCCACCACTGACCTTGGCTGGATGACCTTGGGCAAGCCATTGACCTCCAGGTACAGTTTTCTCTTCTGTAACGTGGAGATCTTTTGTGGTCGTTGTAATAATGAAGATGACGTAAGGCATGTGGAAATATGCAGCATAAAACCTAGCATAATGTAGGTGGTCTATTATTCCTAGCTGAACCTGCTTCTGAAAATAATAGGATAAAGTATATTTTAATTAAGCTAGTTTTATTTGGAAACCTTTAATAAGAAGAATTGCACTGGACTTCCCTGGTGGCATAGTGGTTAAGAATCCGCCTGCCAGTGCAGGGGACACGGGTTCGAGCCCTGGTCCGGGAAGATCCCACGTGCTGCGGAGCAACTAAGCCCATGAGCCACAACTACTGAGCCTGCGCCCTAGAGCCCGTGAGCCACAACTACTGCTCCCACGTGCCACAACTACTGCAGCCCACGCGCCTAGAGCCCGTGCTCTGCAACAAGAGAAGCCACCGCAATGAGAAGCCCGTGCACCACAACGAAGAGTAGCCCCTGCTCACCACAACTAGAGAAAGCCTGCCAGTAGCAATGAAGACCCAACGCAGCCAAAAATAAATTTAAAAAAAAAAGAATGATTGCACTGTAATTACAGTTCAAGATTCCTGGTACATGTTAGAAAAATAAGACACAGAAAGTGGCAAGCCTTTGTTAGCTCCAAGGAGCTGTGGCTAAGATTGAAAGCTTTCTCAAGTTGGGAATTTTCCATTGGGATAATTAGCTTTTCTTTTTTCTTTTTTTTTTTTAAATGTAGCTCTGAAGTAGAGAAAAAGAAACATGAAGGTGTGAGTGAGAGAAGGCTTTGCCTATTCTGACGCTTCATTTTTGGTGTGGTTTGTTGCCATCCTATCATTGGCTGTGTGACATAGCTTCCAAAGGGGTTTTTTTTTTAGAGGGGAGAGGAGCAGCTTTATTGAGATGTAATTCACATACCATACAATTCACCTGTTTAAAGTGTCCAGTTGAGTAGTTTTAAGCATATTCACCGAGTTTTGCAACTGTCACAGCAAGCAGTTTTAGAACATTTGCATCACCCCAGAGAGAAACTCCGTGCCCTCCCCCCTCATTTTTCTCTAGCACTTCCAGCTCTAGGCAACCACCAGTCTGCTTTCTGTCTTTGTAGACCGGCCTGTTGTAGACCTTTCATGTGAGTGGTGTGCTCCTCTGGGACTGGCTCTTCACTGCACATTATGTTTTTTGAAGTCTCGTCTACGTTGTAGTAGGATCAGTACTTCATTCCTTTTTATTGTCTGATCTCCTCCATTGTGTGTGTACCTCCTTTATCATGTGATGGACGTTTGGGTGGTTTCCATTTTTGCCTGTCATGAATAACGCTGCTGTGAACATTTGTGTACAAGTTTTTGTGTGGACTAATGTTTTCATTTCTCTTGGGTATGTACCTAGGAGTAGGATTTCTAGGTCATATAGTAACTATGTTTAACCTTTTGAGCAGCTGCCAAACTGCTATCCAAAGTGGCTTTTTATACAATTTGCCACCTGTACCGGCAGCATATGAGGGTTCCAGTTCCCGCACTTCCTCCCTGACGTTTGTTAGATCTGTCTTTTGATCCTAGCCAGCCTAGTGGGAGTGAAGTGATACCTCGTTTGTGGTTTGATTTGCATTTCTCTGATGGCTAATGATGTTGAGTATCATTCATTCATTCATTCATATTTTTGGCTGCGTTGAGTCTTCGTTGCCATGTGCAGGCTTTCTCTAGTTGCGGCGAGCAGGGGCTACTCTTTGTTGTGGTGCACAGGCTTCTCATTGCGGTGGCTTGTCTTGTTGTGGAGCGTGGGCTCTGGAGCGCAGGCTCAGTAGTTGTGGCGCACGGGCTTAGTTGTTCTGCGGCATGTGGGATCTTCCCGGACCAGGGCTCGAGCCTGTGTCCCCTGCATCGGCAGGCGGATTCTTAACCACTGGGCCACCAGGGAAGCCCTGGGTTTTGTTTTTACTTTTAAGTCTGAATAAACATAGTGCTGAAATCTTGGATGTTAAAAGTGTCAAGATGTCTTTATCCTAATTTCCTTTGAAAAATATACTTCTCATTTCTCAGAATGAGTAAAACTTCAGTTTTCAAGCATGGAAAAGACTCTGGTTGAGGGTGTAAGCCCTGAGTCCTGCCACATCTGTATTTGAGTCTCAGTTCTGTGGCATCCTTGCTGTGTGGCTACTTTCTTATGCTTCAGTTTCCTCATCTGGACAACAGGGATAATTAGAGTAACTCCTTTGAACAGCTGTTAAGGTTCTCTAATGCTGGTCTGGCATATAGTAAGTGCTCATTAAATGTTTATTGTTTGAGGGAGGAGGGGAGGATTAGGGATGTGGATGGTTGTTATAGTAAAACTTAACCTCACTTTTTAATTTTTCTCAGAGGAAACACAAGAATAGAAGAAGCTTGTGAAATGTATACCAGAGCTGCAAATATGTTCAAGATGGCTAAGAATTGGAGTGGTATGTATAAAGTTTTTGTTTGTTTGCTTTTTAGGCAAATAACTTTAAAATCACTTTGAAGGAGGAAATGACTGTCTGCCTTCCCCTTAGAAAAACTGCTGGCTGTGGACCAGGAGAGGGGGGGCCTTGATCCAAGGGAACAAAGCTTGAAATCCTGGCTGAAGTTTAAGCATAGAGGCCGTGTCTGTTTTAGTGTCTGTAAACCCTTTCATACAGTGGGCATGTGGTGATTAAAAAGACTTAAAGTTACTTGGATTTAAGAATAGTAATCTTTGCTTCTCGTTAATGCGCTGAAATAAATTCAGTACCGCAAGGAATGAAAGTTGTAGTAAAACTTATTGAAAACAAGTAGGATAAACAGGAGAGTCTGCTTTTGTTTACCTAAACCTTGGTGGAGAATTTCTAACCATTTCTTACTCTGATAACTGGTTGTAATCCACTGAGAAATGCAGCAGTGGGAGGTGTTATTTCTGTAAACCCTGACAGACTCGTCCGTTTCTAACATAATGCTTTCTACTGGGGGAAATTACACAAAATAAAATCAGAATTCTTTTCGTTGTTCTGAGAGGGGATGGCTTTTTCTAACACTGGTTTGAGAAACAAATTTATCCTCTACCCCTGGAGAAAGAAGTTCTGTGTTGGGGTTTTTCTGTAGTGCAGGTGGAGACAGCCTTTGACAGGGCAGGACATGGGTCTCCAGCCCCCTCGCACCTGCAGATGACCTGAGGCGGGGTCTTGCCCTCTCTAAGTGTGTCTCCCCGTGTGCTTTCCCAGCTTGATCGAGATGTCAGTGACACATCGCATCACGTAAGCGTGAGGTGTGTGGTGTGACGATTTTCCCCCTTGCTTCTAAGGTTGACACTTTAAAATCATTTCAGTGAAGAAAATGCTGTTGAACTGGATGACCGTAAAAGGTCTTTTCTGGCTGTAAAATTCTTTTTATAGGTTTAGTTGTAGGTTAAAAAGGTATGTTCTATTTCCGAAGTGCATTTATACCTGAATTATAATGTATTTTAAAATGGAGGAGAAAAGAGTATTAGCATTCACATCTTTTGTTTGGTTCAGGTCCTGTAATCATATGTAAAAAGTGAACTTATCTAAAAAGACCCTTTCTTTATTTGGTGACCAGATGTTCTAAACTTTGGAAATGCCTTTCAGCAGGGCATTACCGGTTATGTAACCGAGGGGGACGTGTGTGCACTCCCCACCCCGACCCCAGTGATCTCTTGCCTGGACTGTTACCTCCCTGCTTCTTTACTTTCCTAGTGTGTTTTAATGAAGAAAACAAAGTAATCCCGTTAAATCTTAAGTCAGGTCATGTTATTTCACATCAGAACTACAGTCCTTCACGGTGCCCTTCAGGATCTCCTCGATCTCCCATCCCCTCCCGACTCTGGACACTTCTCCTGCCCACCCACTCCTTCCCCGGCTCTTTCCTCTGAGCCTCTGACTGTGCCGTGCCGTCCCTCTGGCACTCTCTTCCCTACAGTAGGGCATGGCCAGTCCCTGTTTTTTCCAGGTCCTTCTACAAATGTCATCGTCGTCTTAGGTCTTTCCTGGCCGTCACTTTTAAAGATAGCAGTCCTCTCTTCTGGGAAGCCCCGCTCCCTTTTCTCCGATGCCCTTACCACCATCTAGCAAAAATAAATGAAGTACATTTGTTCATTTGTATTGTCTGTGCTTTTATTATGTGCTGTCCCTCACTAGAACATAAACCTTAGAAAGCCAAGGTGTTTCTGGGCTTTATCTCTGCTCTACCTACAGGCCCTGGACCAGTATGTGCAACACGATAGATACTCAGCATATTTGTGTAGTGAATTAATAAGCATTAGGTTCTTTGAATTTGGGATTAACAGATACACACCACTATACATAAAATAGATAAACAACAAGGACCTATTGTATAGCACAGGAAACTATACTCAATCTTTTGTAATAACCTATAATGGAAAAGAATCTGAAAATGAATAGATATATATATATAACTGAAACACTTTGCTGTACACCTGAAACTAACACAGCATTGTAAATCAACTCTAGTTCAATTTTAAAAATGGTTAAAAAATGAAATAAACTGAAAAAAAATCAGGTTCTTTGAAATTACTTCCATGTCCTAGTGGTTGGTGATCATGACACCACTGCATTTGTTTATAGTTTTAGAAGTTCTTTTATAAAGTAATTCATCTGCTACTCCAATTTTGAGAGGTCATCCTGGCAGGTATTAGATGTTTACAGTTGAGGAAACTGGGCCTGAGAAAGTGTGTAACTTTGTCTTTGAAGGAGCATGTATTAAACCACTTCCAAGTTTGGAGAGACGGAGCTGGCATTTTTAGCGGTGGTTGGAATGAGTGCTCAGACTGAAAAAGTGAGCCAGCACCTAGTTTTGGAAGGTGGGAGTGTGAAATTGTAAAATCAAAGCTCTTAATATTGTCTGGGGAGGACTTCCCTGGTGGCGCAGTGGTTAAGAATGCTCCTGCCAGTGCAGGGGACACGGATTCGAGCCCTGGTCCAGGAAGATCCCACATGCCACGGAGCAACTAAGCCCGTGCGCCACAACTCCTGAGCCTGCGTGCCACAGCTGCTGAAGCTTACATGCCTAGAGCCCGTGCTCCACAACAAAGAGAAGCCACCACAATGAGAAGCCCACGCACCACAACGAAGAGTAGCCCCTGCTCACCGCAACTAGAGAAAAGCCTGCGCGCAGCAACAAAGACCCAACGCAGCCAAAAAAATCAATCAGACAATTTATTAAAAGAAAGAAGATCATCCGGGGAAGTGGAGCCAACACGGCAGAGCCTGGATGCCATGCTGTTACCCTCAGCCAGGGAAGGATGGACCACAATTGGTTCTGGGACGGCCAGCACAAATAAACTGTCAAAAACTAAATTATTGGTGGGAGAGGGAGGATTTGGTTGTAAAAGAAATGATGACACTTAAACACAGCAAAGCACAGGTGTTCTCTAAGGACATTTACGTGTGATAATGACAATGGCCAACATGCGTGCAAGTGCCTGGGGCCAGGCTGTTCTGAGCGTTTTGCCTAGAAGGTCCAAGTGATGGCTACACGCTTCTGAGGCCAAGCCCATCAGAGCCACTCTTTGGCCGCTACGTTCCTGAACTGCCACCGGGAAGTTCACAGCTGCCCGTAGGACCTGGGTGCCTGCCCACCACCCTGGCAGTGGCTTGGCCCCTCCTCTGGGCCTCTGGGTTCACGGTCCACCAAGGTAGGGGTCAAGGCCTGGCGGGCAGGCTTCTGCAGTCCCAGCTCCAGCCGCAGGCCAGTGTCTGCTTGGACTGGCAGGGCCCAGGCCACGCTGGTGGGTAAATATTTTCAGAAGTGCCTGGGCACTCTTTTGTCTTGCACAGAGCAAGAATTGAATCTGGGCAGGCTGGTTCAGGGGTTTGTGCTGCCTCTTCTCCCTCAGGTGGAGATCCAGAGACCGCAGTGGGAATTATGTAGTTTCCTCTGGAAGTGTGGTTGGGACACGGAGAGCCACTGAAGCTTCAGTGGAATTGACTGTTCTGTTTCTGAAAAGAAATGTAAAGTAAATGTTTAATACCATCAGGGTTCTTAGGCGTCTGTCACTATTTTTTATACTTTTCTGAATGTCTTTGAAACATTTATGACTGAAAATTTTTTTTAAGTACCAGGAGGTTTTGTGATACTCTTGGTCGTGCCTTTCCTAATGGGGCGAGCTCTCCCTCCGTCCCTGCTGGTCCTGACTTCCGACTCCAGACCCTCATCAGCCACCCCCAGTCCTGGTTCTCCCCTGCGCTTGAGGACCTAGTGGTGAATTGGGTTCATCCTCGTCCAGGCCCCATGCTGACCTTCACAGCCTCCTGGGTGGGCCTGACCTCCTCCGCCCCAGCCCGGTCCTTCCTCCTTCGTTCCTCCATTTCAGCCCCACCAGAAGCCACATTTCCTGATCCAGAACCTTCTCTGGAAAAGCTGAGTGCATGAACCTCTCACGCTGTGCCCCCGGACAGCACCCGTGTGACTGCGGGGAAGTGTGCCAGTTCCACACCAAGTGGGACATGCACAGTTCAACCCCATGGGTCTCTGTCAGACTTTGTCATAAACTTAGGAAAGAGCTTTGACTTTAGAAATTGTGGGCCTCATCTTCACTCCTTGAGAGTCTGCTCTGGGAGCCTTTGTCGCTGTTTCTCCGGTGATGCCAGATGAGCCAGTGGACACAGAGAGATGGGTGGTGCTCATCCTCGCCTGCGGACCCTCCTGGCCTCACGCCTCTGCGGAGACGCCCTGTTGGTGCGGGGCCTGTGCCGGGGACAGAGCTGAACACCCGCCGCCGGGCGGTCAGTGTGGAAGGAGGCCTGGGGCTGAGAGGAGCCCTTGTTGCTGTCCCCCTGGGTCCTGGGCGTCTTCGTGGCCACCCAAGGTGCACTGGGTCACAGGCACGTGTGCTGCTGTCAGGGATGGGGCCTTCCCCAGGCGGGCGTGGGCCGGGCTCCTGGAGCAGGGCCGCTCTGCAGGGTGCTTGCTCCTCTGACTGAGTCATTTGTCTTCTTCAGCTGCAGGAAATGCGTTTTGTCAGGCAGCCAAGCTCCATATGCAGCTGCAGAGCAAACACGACTCCGCCACCAGCTTTGTGGATGCTGGGAACGCCTACAAGAAGGCAGACCCCCAAGGTGAGCCGCGCTCTGTCCCGTGCCCCCCGGACCTCACGCAGGTTGTGCTGCTAGAGCGAGATGCTCGTGCTTCAGGACGGTGGAGATTTGGGGATTTTTAACTGCAATCAGCTGAAGCTTTTATGAGGAGAAAATCTATTAAATTTATCCAGCTTAGTGCTCAACACCATTTTCTTGAACTCCATTGTGGAGTTGCATTATGGACAGTTTTTTGGAAATTAGCGTTAATTTTATCTAAGTCTTACCTTAATTGTGTGAGTGTGTACATCGCTCACTAAAGGAAACGAGTGTTCCCTCGCTCCCGAATAGTGTGTGTGGAGATCCAGTTAATGGGAGGCCGTAAAATCCTATAGTTGAAAACAGCTTATTCACACAGCATTCATGTGACTTCTTTAAAAAGTGTTTTTCAAACACTTTAGGTTTTGAGGAAAGAATGATCTTGGGTATTTGAAGAGGTGAAGTTTTGCAGACGTTCTTTCTTTTTGAGTTAGAGGAGTGCACACTTAGCGATTGAAGGCCTCATCTCCTCCCTCCACACGTGCACTGGTGGCTGTGGAACCTCCCTCCTTGTTTCAGCAGCCCGTTTTAACACAGAAATCCCAGCTCTTGTGAATATATCACACTGAAACAAGCTATTTCAAGGGCTGTGGTATAAGGATTAGCCACAGTTTATTTTCTAAAGGGGAAAAACTGGGCACAGCCTAAGTGCACAGTAGAATCACCTCACATCAGTATTTCAGAGTGTGTTGCAGGCACTGAACCCCTGGCTTCAGGGTGTCTCACTGACCTGGGAAATGTTCTCACGGCAGCTGAGGAACCATGGAGAGCCGAAATCTGAAATTCACAATACGTCAGTGCTCATAGAAATGCATCCAGAAAACACAGGGAGGAAAAGTGCATCAAATTCCTAGCTGGGGGTTTGAGCGGGTTTTGTGGGTAGCTTTTCTATTTTTCTGTATTTTTAACGGCATAACAATCCACATTTCTTATGCAGCTTAGGGGGAAATTGCTTTTATTTTCACTAATCTACTTATCTTTCTGATCCTTCGGTCAGGCCTCTTTGCTCTGCTGCCTCTTTAGAGCAAAAGCAGTAAACTTGGAGCCGCCGACCGCTTGCCAGCGTTGTAAACGCCACCGTGTGGTGGGGAGCTGTCGGCTCACTGTTTCAGAAAATGAGTGTCATTAGCACTCTCGTTTATTAGATTTTTTCTTCCTGTTGGTATTTGTTAGTACACCGAAAGTTAGTGTCTTTTAACACTGTACAAAAAGTACTGTCTTTCAAAATTAATACATACACGTGATACCAGCGAGGAGTGCGCTGCACTTAAGGTTTTAGTGGATAGATTGACAGGTGTTGATGACACTTCCGTGGACAGGTTCCGCGAGGGGCTGGACGTGTGTTTGCTTTTTGCCAACCACCCTGCCCCCGCCCCGCCCCAGCGGGGCCCCTTAGCCGTGTAGAAGCAGCCAGGAAGACAGGCTCAGCGAACCCTCTGACTGAATGGATTTTTCATTGTCTTTCTTGAATGCCTTCGCTTCAGAGGCTATCAACTGCTTAAATGCAGCCATCGACATTTACACAGACATGGTAAGACATGCCTTGCTTGAGCGGCCGTGGGGTGGAACCCTCGAGATAGCTCACAGTTAACCGGGATGTGACTGCTTTGTTTCCTCCCCAGGGAAGGTTCACGATCGCGGCCAAGCACCACATCACCATCGCGGAGATCTACGAGACGGAGCTGGTGGACATCGAGAAGGTGTGTGGACAGGGGAGGCGGCGGGCAGGGACCCCAGGCGCCACTGCAGTGGGCTCGTGAGGGCAGAGGGATGCGCGCGCAGACAGGGTCATGTGGAGACCTCGGGCTGGGGTGGGAGGGAGAGCCCTGCCAGCTCCCCAGGCTGCCTCCCTCCAACTGGGGACGGCGTTGATGTAAAACCGAGCGCCGTGGGAAGCAGGCGCAAGTCAGGGAGGAGCGGCTTGCACTGTCTGGGGCGGACGCTGAGCTCTCAGAGGTCACCCTTCACCCCGTGCCTGCTGCTCGCGCTGGACCGTTGTCACTCTTGTCTCTCTTCCTCTCCTGTTTCACCTCTTCCCTCGGCCTCTGGAGCACGGCCCCCGCTTGGTTCTCTGCCCCCCACCCTTGGCAGGTTCCTCCTCTCCCCTTGGGGCTGGGCCCTCGTCCGCTCTCACTGTGCTTGCTCCCGTGCTCCTGTCTGTGCTCACGCAGCATCCCAGCTTGAAGTGTCCCGTGTATGCTGGCAACTCGCCATCCTCGTTTGCAGGAGATCAGGTTGTTTCTCCGCTGTTTCCAACCTTGCAGGTGGCCTCCTGCGCCCCACGGATTGGCCCCTCACCCAGCACCTTTCAGGCTCCCCTCTTCCTCGTCCCCCCTTGCTCTCCTGCTTCCCCTGCAGCAGCCACCCTGACCTCTGCTGACCCTCGCAAGCAGGGTCTTTGCGCTGCTTGTCCCTTTGCCCTGAGCTTTTCTCCCACATGTCAGTTGTCCTTCAGAGCTTTGCTCATTTGTAACTGTGATGAGAAGTATCACAGCCACCTAGTTAAAACTGGGACCTCAGCCCTCACGGGGACACACCCAGATGCCCTCCCACCTCAGTGGCCCCCTTACAGGCGCTCTGATGGCCTGCTCACCATCCCTGTGTTGCCGTCTCCCTCCACTGGAGTGGGTGCCCCACGTCAGCCCGAACCTTCCTGTGGTTTACTGGTGTGTCCGAGAGCCCAGGCTCTGATGAGTGAGCAGAGGATGCCCTCACTGTCACGCTGCACCCGCCAGAGCAGACGGAGTCTCAGGCGGGGAGGCCCTCTCGGTACTGCAGTCAGACAGGCCTTGTTAACGTCGCCCTTTGACTTCATGCTGACGCCCCTCGTGGTCACGCAGCTCAGAACTCTCTGGCTCGTTTCATGGACTTGACTTTCAGCCGTTTTTGTCATACTGTGCCATGCTCTGCTGAGGCTGCCCTTAGACCTTGACTACATCAGGGCAGTACGCCCCGTCTCTGCGGGGAGCTTTTCTGCAGACCCAGGAGGAGGTGATGAGCCCGAGACCTGAGCCCTCCTTTGCCCCCGGGCGCAGGGTCGGTGGCAGAGCAGGAGGAGCCGAGTCCGGGTGGCTGGGGTGGCTCCACATCTGTACTGAGCTGAACCACCTTGCGGGGATGAGCGCCGCTGGGCAGAGCGTTTCTCCAGCCGAGGCCGCTGCGTCCGCTCCTGTCCTCGGTGGTCAGTCCTCTGTCTTCCGGGGTGGTCTTGGGCAGCCTCTTTACGACATGCATCTCCAGAAGATTCAGGGCGGATAAACGACCAGTGGCGAGCTCTTGTTTTCCTTCTTCTTGAACAAAGTTGACAGTTTGTCACGCACAGGAGCTTCTGCAGCCTGTCGCCCGCGGTGTTCCTGCCATTCTGCAGGGTGCCCGTGGGCAGCACCTCCTGGCGCTTACGTGGGGCCTGTCACGGTGCGTCCTAAGAACCACATCACTCAGCACATGCGTGGGGCTCAGCCCGTCTTGCTCCCTCATGTTGGGCTCCTGTGTCTAGAAACGTCCTCACCCTCGCCTCCCTGGCGGGACTCTCCAGGCTGTGTTGGTGGTGCATGATGTTTCTTTGAAAAATCAGTTACACTGAGGCATCTTATGTCTGATTCATTGTGTTTCTTCCCTGTTTAATGTGGCCACAATGTGTCCCCTGGTTCACTCAGATTTTAGCTGGTGAACAAGGAAACGTGAAGTTCCATAAACTCACGATACTCCTTTGACTTCCAAGTAAAACATTAGTATAATAATAATCAGTAATATTCAGTGACCCAGAGGAGCTCTGACTCGTGTCCGTCTCAGCCCCTGGAGAACGTGATTTCGTGTTGTCTGTTACAGTGTAGGGTAAGTGTCTATGGCAGGTTCTCAGGGCGTAGGTTCTGAAAGAATGATCCCATCTGAAGGCTGTTTAAGGCTGTTTCACCTACAAAGTGGACCCTTGAGCTTGACCCTCAGCTGTTGCGTTTGCCTTAAGACTCCGCTGGTGAGCGCAGTCCTAGAGTCCAGTCTCTGCCTTCAGGGCCCAGTGTTCTCCAGCACCGTGATGCCTACCAGACTCGCCAAGGAGGAGTACTGTGATTCCTTTGGCACGCTATCCAAATTACAGGATAATAACTGCTTTTTGTGTCTGGATTTATTGTTACATGTGCTGTTGTTATTGGCGGCTGTGTTCTACTTTTTTTTTTTTTTTTTTTTGCGGTACACGGGCCTCTCACTGTTGTGGTCTCTCCTGTTGCGGAGCACAGGCTCCGGACGCGCAGGCTCAGCGGCCATGGCTCACGGGCCCAGCCGCTCCGCGGCATGTGGGATCTTCCTGGACCGGGGCACGAACCCGTGTCCCCTGCATCGGCAGGCGGACTCTCAACCACTGCGCCACCAGGGAAGCTCTCTACTTTTGATACTTATTATCATCCTTGAAATTGTAAGATACTCTGGGCTGAATTCTAACGTGTAAGGGTTGACTTGTGCCTGATTAATGTCACTATGTGTTAAAATTCCACACTAGTGTGAACATCCAAAGATAACCCATGCCCAACCTCTTTTCTCTGAAACTTCTCTGTTAAGCGCTAGGTAAGTTTTTTTTCAACTGTTTTCTGTGAAAACTTGGGAATACCATGCAACTTGATTCTTGGTTTAATTAGCATTATTAATTATTAAAAACCAAACAGAATTTTTCTTTTACTATGATAACTCTAGCTGTAGCTTAGAGCTATAATGTCTTGATGAGCCAGTGTCATTGTTTACTACGTGTCAGGTTACACCCTATCATCCGCATTTGGCCTTTTTTTTTTACCCTCCAAAACAGCAGTTCCACATGGTTCAGCCCGGCACTGTTCCCTGAGTTCTGGGCGGTAGGAGCCAGGAGGGTGAGTAGTATGTACGCTCCCTCCCTGGGAAGAGGTTATACAGCCTGGTACTCTTTACACAGTGATTTGGTATTGTTTCCCATACTCAACCCCCTTATTACGATGGGAAGGGGTGCAAAGTACTTCAGAGAATGAGGGCAGTTCAGAGATAATGTCTGACTAATCAGAAATTCATGGGAAACCTTTCTTTGCTAGGCATTCCCGTGAGTCATGATGGTGCCGGTAGTGTAATCCGGACCACCTGTGAGATGCAGCTGCCCACGTCCCTCAGCACCTGTTTGCTGAGCACCCGCTGTGTGACAGGCGTCGCGCTGGGCTTGGGAGCAAAGCCACGTGGGCCTGCCTGCCCTCAGAGCTAATGGTGTAGTGGGAGAGCAAAGCATGCGCGCGCGCGCGTGTGTGTGTGTGTGTGTGTGTGTGTGTGTGTGGGCTCTGACTGTGCTCCAAAAGGGTGGATTCCAGGTGTTTCCTCCACGTGTCTGTATTTGTATATACTCTTTTCTGGCTGTTTTTATTTACTGTTTCATGAAGAACTTTCGTACTGATACTTTGTATCATTATTCTTCATCTTAGCCCGGTAGCCCATTATGTTTAACCACGGGGTCACTGCTCCAGCAGGCACGGTTCTGCTTTCTGAGCTGTCAGGTGCTTGATTTCACTAAGTCTTAAGCCGCAGCATGACAAGGGCTTCTAGCTTTCCCGGCTGCAGCCTGTTTCCTCTCCACTTGATTGTTCACAGCTCCCCCCATCTTAGGTGGAAGGCAACACCTTTATTCTGGATGACCCTTAGGTATCCGTGAGGAACGTCTGTGCTGCTGCAGCAAGCCATAGATCTGAATGGAATAGGGCCTCACACGTCTCTGAAATAACAGTCCACTGTCACTGCTTGGGGTTTGGCGGTCGTGGGGACATCACTTGGGAACCAGGCTGACAGAAGGGCTGCCATCTTCAGTTTGCGGCTTCCAGCATCACTAGACGTGGCCCTTGCCTTCCAGCTCACGGGAAGGGGACGGGCCTGGAGAAGGCTGCAGAGTCAGATGTGTGGGTCACATCTGGAGGTGGCCCACAGCGTGTCTGCTTACATCCCATTGGGAAGGACAGGTCACCTGGCTGCCCCTAACTGCAGCAGGCCTGGGGAGACGGGGTGGCAGGGCATTTGTTGGGTGGGAGGTAGGGAAGAAGAGATTTTGATGGACAGCAAGCCATCTGCTGGAAGCGCATGCTTTCTTCTGTTCCCAAAATAAAGCAGGCCGGGTTGTGAAAGATTTGCTGCTGGAAAAGGTTTATTTATAGGAAAAGTATCTGTGCAAATGTAGTTTTTAAATGCAACTCTTAAACAAATGGTTGGAATAAGACGTGTGTGTGTTTGCAGGCTGTCGCCCATTATGGACAGTCAGCTGATTATTACAAAGGGGAAGAATCCAACAGGCAAGTATTATTTTCCTTGATGTAATTCAGTGGGTTTTGTTACATGTAATAAAAGACAGACCTTCACTCTGCTCTGGGAGCCCCTTGCATCGTACCACGTGAAGGTGCACTGAGATGTCTTGTCATTTCTCTTTGGGAGCGTTTCCTCTCTGCTCTGGTTCTCGGTTTCAGCTCGGCTAACAAATGTCTGCTGAAAGTGGCCGCGTACGCCGCCCAGCTGGAGCAGTACCAGAAGGCCATCGAGATCTTCGAGCAGGTGAGGCTGCTGTCTGCGCAGCTTCCGGCAGAAGGCATTCTGAATCTTCTTTTTAAATTCAGCTTTTTATTTGGTAATGATTTTTATTGAGATCGAATTCACGTATCATGTAATTCAGCCTCTTAAAGAGTGCGCATCAGTGAGTTTGCGTATATTCACAAAGTTGTGTAATAAGCGCCACTGCCTAGTTCTAGAATATTTCCATCATTGCACAAAGAAATCCCATCCTCCCCTCCTCCCAGTCCCGCGGTGTGTGAGTCCGTGGACGTGGAACCTCGGATATGGGGGGCCGACTGTGGGATTTGAGCATCCATGGACACTGGTATCTCAGTGGTCCTGGAACCACTTCCCCTTGTATATCGTGGGGTGACTGTAATACTCCACAGTTTGTTTAACCGTTTATCAATTAATGGACATCTGGGCTGTTTGCATTTGGGGGTATTATGAATAATGCAGCTAAGAATATTTGTGTTCGGGTTTGGGGGGCATGTTTGCGGTTCTCTAGTTTATATACCTAGAATTGGGATTGTTGGGTCACGCGTCAAGTCCCTTTCTAACTATCTGGGGAGCTGCCAAATTGCCCCATTCTACATTCCCTCTGTCAGCGCACATGTTCCAGCTCTCCATGCTTCACTTGTTTTCTGTTGTAACAATAGCTACCCTAATGTGTGAAGTGATATCCCATTGTGTTTTCGATATCCATTTCCCTAGTGATTAGTGATGTTGGGAATCTTTTCATGTGCTTATTGGTCATTTGTATACCTTCATTGTAGAAATATTTATTGAGTTTCTTTGTCCTTTTTTTTATATATATATTTTTTATTTATTTATTTTTGGCTGCATTGGGTCTTCATTGCTGCACTCAGAGGCTTTCTCTAGTTGCAGCGAGCGGGGGCTGCTCTTGGTTGTGGTGCGCGGGCTTCTCATTGCGGTGGCTTCTCCTGTAGCGGAGCACGGGCTCTAGGCACGCAGGCTTCAGTAGTTGTGGCGTACGGGCTCAGCTGCTCCGCAGCATGTGGGATCTTCTGGACCAGGGCTCGAACCCGTGTCCCCTGCATCGGCAGACGGATTCTTAACTACTGGGCCACCAGGGAAGTCCCTCTTTGTCCCTTTTTGAATTGGGTTGTTTTTTTCTGTTGAGTTTTAGAAGTTCTTCATATATTCTGGATATTAATTTCTTATTAGATATGTGATTTGCAAATACTTTCTCCCATTCTGTGGGTTGCCTTTTTACTCTGTTATTAGTGTCGCTTGATGCATAAAGTTTTAAGTCCTGATGAAGTCCAATTTGTCTTTTTCTTTTGTTGCCTGTGTTTTTCATGTCAGAACCAAGAAATCATTACCAAACCCAATGTCCTGAAGCGTTTCCCCATGTTTCTTTTTAAGAGTTTTATAGTTTTAGTTCTTAGGTTTATGTTTTTCATCCATTTTGAGTTAATTTTTGTATGTGGTGAAGGTAAAAGGTCCAACTTCATTCTTTTGCATGTGCATGTCCAGTTTTCCCAGGGCTGTTTGTTGAATACACTGTCCTTTTGCCATTGAAGGGTCTTGGCACCCTTGTTGAAAGTCATGTGGCCATATAAGTCAGGGTTTATTTCTGTGCTTTCTATTCTATTCTACTGGTTTTCTGTCTTTATGCCAGTACCACACTGTTTTGATTACTGTGGCTTTGTGTGGTAAGTTTTAAAATCAGGAGATGTGAGTCCTCAACTTGGTCCTTCTTTTTCAAGGTTGTTTTGGCTATTTGGGGTCCCTTGCATTTCCACATGAATTTTAGGATCAGCTTGTCAATCTCTGCTAAAAAGTCAGCTGAGATTTTGATGAAAGTATTGTCATTTTGACATTAAGTCTTATAATCTGTGAACTCAGGGTGCTTTTGCATTTATTTAGATCATCTTTAATTTTGTTCAACGTTTTAGAGTTTTGTAGTGTGCAAGTCTGGCATTTCTTTGGTTAAATGTACTCTAAGTATTTTATTCTTTTTGATGCTATGTAAATGAAATTGTTTTCTCAATTTTCTTTTCTGATTTTAATTGCTAATTTTATATACTGCAACTTTGCTGAACTTGTTTACTAGCTCTAATGAGTTTTTATGGATTCCTTAAGATTTTCTTTATACAAAATCATGTCCTCTGCAAGTAGCGATAGTTTTACTTCTCTGATCTGTGTGCCTTTTACTTCATTTTCCTGTCATTTGCTCTGGCTTGATCCTCCAGAACGATGATCAGTAGAAGTAGTAAGAGCAGACATCCTTGTTTTGTTTCTGTCTTAGAAGGAACGCATTCAGTCTTCCACCATTGAGTTTATGTCAGCTGTGGGTTTTTGCAGATGCCTTTTATCAGTTTGAGGAAGTTCCCTTCCCCTCCCAGTTTGTTGTTTTTATCATCAAAGCGTATTTGTTTTTGTCAGGTGCTTTTTCTGCATCTTTTGAGATGATCATGTGGTTTTTGTCCTTTATTCTGTTAACATGGTGTCTTTCATTGGTTGATTTTTATCTGTTGGCCCAACCTTCCATCCTTGGGATAGAACCTGCTTGGTTGTTGAAAAGTTTCAGGGTCTCCAAGAGCACCTTCAGGTTTGATAATTCTCTGGAAGGACTCACAAAACTCAATGAAAGCTGCTATATCACAGTTATGGTTTATTATAGCAGAAGGATGCTGACCCAAATCAGCCAAAGGAAGAGGCACAGAGAGGAGGTCAGGAGAGCCCTGAGTGTGAGCTTCCTGTTGTCCTGCCCAGACTGGGACTGTGGAACTGTGCAGACAGCACTGACTTCTCCCAACAGTGATGTGTGAAAGCATGTGTAGGGTATTGCCACCGGGGAAGAAACTCACCTGAACATGGTTGGCCTTATTCTGCAGTCCCTCCATAGGTTGAGCTAAACTACATGGTCTAAGACCCCTGGGTAAACAAAAACACTCTTTCAGGCAGGACATTCCAGGGACTTAGAGATTATCTACCAGGAATCATGGGCAAAGGCACTTTGGACAGAATTAATCCTTTACTACATAGTTATGGTGTGTAATCCTTTTTGTAAGTTGCTAGAATTAGTTTGCTAGTGTTTTGTTCAGGATTTTGCATCTGTATTCATAAGGGATATTGACCTTTAATTTTCTCTTGTAATGTCTCTGTCTGGCTTTGGTAGCCAGGTAATACTGGCCTCAGAATGAGTTAGAAAGTGTTCCCTCCTCTTCCTTTTCTGGAAGAGTTTGTAAAGGATTGGTGTTAAATTCTTTAGACATTTGGTAGAATTCAGTGATTTTGCTCTGTCGTTCTGTTTTCAGTTTCATTGATTCCTATTGTTATCCTGATTTCTATCCTATTTTCTTCAGATTTATTTTGCTCTTCTTTTTTAGGGTACTGAGGGTAGAAGCTTAGCTAATTGATTTTCCTCTTTGTTGTGTGGGCATTTTTAGTGCTCTCAATTTCCCTCTAAGTGCTGCTTTGACTGTGTCTCACAGTTCTGTTACATTGTTTTATTTTTATTTATTTTATTTATTGATTTTCATGGATTATTTATCAGTGTTTTGTTTACTTCCCAAGTGTTTGGAGATGTTCCTGTTATCTTTCTGTTGTTGATTTCTAGTTTGATTCTGTTGTGGCTGGAAAATACACTCTGTGTGATTTCAATTCTTAGAAGTTTGTTTTATGGCCCAGAATACGGTCTTGGCGTATATTCTGTGGTTCTGCTGTTGCTGGGTGGTATGTTCTATAAATGTTGATTAGCTCCTCTTGCTTAATGGCGCTGTTGAGTTCTTCTGTACACTTGCTGATTTTCTGTCTACTTCTGTTGTTGAGAGTGGAGTGTTACAGTCTCTAACTATCACTGTGGATTTGTTTATCTCTCATTTCTGTCAGTCTTTGCTTCACAATGTTTGGCAGCTCTGTTTGGTGCATACATATTTAGGATTGCTGTGTCTTCTTGTTGGGCTGACCCTTTTATCATTATATAGTGTCCCCCTCTGTCTCTGGTAATTTTCTTTGCTCTGAAGTCTATCTGATCCTAATATAGCCTCTCCTGCTTTCTTTTGATTAATGTTTACATGATATATCTTTATGCATCCTTTTCCTTTCAGCCTGCCTATATTGTTATAATTGAAGTGTGTTTGTTGTAAACAGCACAGAGTTAGGTCATATTTTTAATCTACTCTGCCAGTGTCTGTCTTTTAATTGGTATGTTTAGACCATTCACATTTAATGTAATTATTGACGTATTAGAACTGAAGTCTGCCATTTTATTTTTTTGTTTTCTGTTTATCCTCTGTTTTTTGTTTTTCTGTTTCCTTTTTCCTACCTTCCAGGGGGTTTTTGATTACCTATAGTGTTTGGGGGTGTATCTCTTTAAATAGCTTTTGTAGTGATTGCTATAGGTATTATATTTACATAAAGTATCACAGGCTAATGATGTCATCATTTTTTCAGTTCCAGTGAAATACAGAAATCTTACCTTACTTTCTGTTCCTTTATCCTCCCCCATTCAATATATAATTGTCTTTAATATTTCCTCTGCACACTTTTAGAAACACATCAGTCACTGTTACAATTTTTACTTCAATCATCCAACTTAATTTAGAAAACTCAGGAGGAGGAGAAAAGCCTATTGTATTTTCCCATATTTTGCTTAATGTGTTCTTTCTTCCTGATGTTCCAGGATTCCTTCCTGTATTTTGTTCTACTTAGAGAACAACCTTTTGCTATTCTTTTAGGGTAGGTCTGCTGGCTAAACATTCTCTTGGTGTTCCTTCATCTGGGAATGTTTTGAATTCCCCTTCATTCCTAAAGCATATCTTCCCTGGGTATACAATTCTGGGTTGACAGCTCTTTCCTTTTCAGTGCTTGAAAAACGTGCCCTTACAACCAGCATGGTTTCTAATGAGAAGTTTGCTCTCATTCAAGCTGTTTTCCCTGTAGGTGAGGTGGTGTTTCTTTCTGCTACTTTCAAAAAGTTTTTCCTTTGTCTTCAGTTTTCAGAAGTTTATGTGGCTTAGCATGGGTATCTTTGCTTTTATGCTGTTTGGATTTCAGTAAACTTCTGGAATCTGTAGGTTTATGTTTGTTTCTTGCCAAATTTAGGAAGTTTTCAGCCGTTATTTCTTCAAGTGCTTTTTTAGCCACTCCCTCTTTCTCTCCCCTTCTGTGGTTCAGACAGCCCAGATGTTATGCCTTGTTTTATCATCCTATATGTCCCGATGCTCTGCTCCTCTTTTCTGGGTCTGTCTGCTCTCTGTTGTTCAGACTGAGTAATTTCTAATGTTCTACCATCAGTTCACTGAGTCCTTCCTGTGTTCCATGGGATCTGCTGTTGAACCCATCCACTTTTTATGTCAGTTACTGTGTATTTCAGTTCTGAAGTTTCCACTCATTTCTTCTTTGTATCTTCTGGGGTTTCTTACTGAGAATTTTTCTTCATTGATGCTTTGGTTTTCCTCTGGTCTCAAGCAATTTTCTAATGGCTTGTGGAAGCATCTTAGAAAGGCCCCTTTAAAATCTGTTAGATAAGTCTCACATCTCTGCTATGTGAGAGCTGTTGTTTATTAGTTGTCTTTTTTTTAAATTTAATTTTATTTATTTTTTTATACAGCAGGTTCTTATTAGTCATCCATTTTATCCACGTCAGTGTATACATGTCAATCCCAATCTCCCAATTCATCCCACCACCACCACCACCCCCTGCCGCATTCCCCCCTTGGTGTCCATACGTTTGTTCTTTACATCTGTGTCTCAATTTCTGCCCCGAAAACCGGTTCATCTCTACCATTTTTCTAGGTTCCACATATATGCGTTAATATACGATATTTGTTTTTCTCTTTCTAACTTACTTCACTCTGATTAGTTGTCTTTTTTTATTCAACTTGAGATGTTCCCTTTTCTTGGTATTGCAAGTGAGTTTTAATTAAAAACTGGATATTCGTACATTGTGTTATAAGACAGGGTCTTGTTTAAACCTCCTCTCTCAGCTGGTTTTCTTTGGCACTGAAGGGGTGTGGCCTCGCTCCTGCCAGGTGGAGGTAGGGTTCAAGCTCCCCACCTGACCGCCTGGTTACCATCAGGTAAAGGTGAATCCATGCCCGCTGGGAGATGACGGGGCCTCTTTCTCACTGGGAGGAGGTGACGCAGTCCCCACGTGGTCTCCAGTGCCTCTGTGATGGGGGCACAGGCTGGCTCCTGCTCTGCCTCCTTGGCAGGAGAGTGGGGCTCTCCCAGGAGGATGGGCGTCTTGTCTTCCTCTTTGGCTTTTGCTGCTGTGAGTGGCGTGGATCAAAGCAGGTGTCATCTAAACATTTTCTGTCTTGCTAGCTGCCCCTCTCCTGGTCCTCTGGCTGGAGAAAGCAGGCTTTCATCTATTCTCTCTCTTTCTTTCGCTGCACCCACCGGCATTTATGGGTTGCTGGCTTTTTCTGTTCCAAGTCAGGGATTTATGCAAGAAAAAGAAAAACCAGGGAACTCCCTGCCGTGTTTGCCCTGTGTCCCTGGCTTGTCTGCTCTTCTTTCCACCTTTCAGTCTCCCTATGTTAGTTTCATATAAAAGATCCAGGGCTTTTAGTTGTACTTAGCAGGAGGGACAGAGGACAGCATGTCTGTTCCATCCTCCTGGATGTGGAATTCTGCTGAGTCGTTTTTAACAGGTCAGCACTTTATGTTAAACATTGTTTTTTTGTCTAGTAACATTTCTGGTACATGGCTTTGGGTTAAAAGAATGGATTTCATAGCTTAACTAACATAAGATGCAGAGTACTTGCTAAAGAGTAGATGAGGGTCAGCATGCCTAGTGTAGGAGGGCAAACCTTTTCACTCTGACCCCACTTTCTCTGCCTAGATTGGGGCCAACACCATGGATAACCCTTTGTTGAAGTACAGTGCAAAGGATTACTTCTTCAAAGCTGCCCTCTGTCACTTCATAGTGGATGAGCTGAATGCCAAGGTGAGGGGCCCTGCGGTGTGGGTTCTGATGCGCTTCACCCCTAAGCACAGGTGCTCAGCCGTTGTCCGTGATACCAGCTCGGAGTAAGACTGTGCTGCGTACATGGAAAGCAACATGGAGGGTGATACTCTGACCCTGTCCTGGCTGTACTACCGCAGCTGGGGCGACAGCTGCTGAGGCTCTTCTCTTAAGTGAACGCCCCCTGGGGGCCACACTTCCTTCACTAGTTTTGGTTTAAAGAAATCAGGGGCTGAGGGGAGACAGTAAAAGCAGAATCGTGTCTTTTTTTTTAAACTCAGAAATGGAGCTGGGGTGAGGGTTGGGAGAAAAGCAAAGAGAGAGCTGGAGGTGGAGGCAGGGACAGGGCAGCCTTGGTGTCCTCGGGCTTGGGGTTAGGGCCCCGGGCTCCGGGCAGAGCCTCCTCCAGCGCGTGAAACTAGACGCCTGCTCTGGGAGGTCCGAACATTGGATCTGGCTCACGTGGTCTTCCCCACAGCAACCTCATTCGGAGAAACTGGTTTAGAAGCTTACTCTTAACTGGAATTGAAATTCACAGTCAACAGGCTTGACCAACACAGCTTGATTTTGATGTTGAGTCTCATAATTAAGTAGGATGTAAATAAATCGTGCCGAAGTTAGTAGACTGTCAGAGCTTCGTTTCCTGGTTCAGTGACTCAGATGTTAACGAGTGGTTTTCTTTCCCAGCTTGCTCTGGAGAAATACGAGGAAATGTTTCCGGCGTTCACTGATTCGAGAGAATGCAAGTTATTGAAAGTAAGTAGGTGGGGCTGGGATACAGTGACGTTTTCACCCTGTGAATCCGCTCACCGAGCAGCCCCGTGCCTTCCTGCTCTTGCACACTAGGCCTCAGGTGCCGTTAGGGCCAGGCGCGCACTGCTCTTAACCTGGTGGGTCAGGCACGTTAGCACAAGGCTGGATCCCTGGCTCGGGGTAACTCTTGACTTGTATTTGGAATTTTCCCGTTTTGTAAGTCATTTGGCAACATCAGTTAGTGTGATACGAAGGCTACTTTGCATTTAAAGTATCCATTCATAGATGGAACTTTTTAGCCTACCAAACTAATGTTTCTGTATTTATGTTCCCAGAAACTTCTAGAAGCTCATGAAGAGCAGAACAGCGAAGCTTACACGGAAGCAGTACGTTCGCTTTTGGGATTTAGCATGTTCTCTGAAAGTTTACGTTACAGAAACAACTCCTTTTCATCGTGTAAATGCTGAACATTTATTTGGACATTATTGCACTATACCTACATTGTGTTTTCCAAAAGGCATGTTTTTAGATCCCACCAGCCTTCACAATTAGACAGTTCTATGAGCTGTGCTGAATTTAGCTGTGGGGCAAATATATATCACATAATGTTATGACTTGTTTGGATGTTTTCTATGGAAAATAATCTGATCCATGAATAAGTGTCAAGTAAAATCAGTGAAATCTAATCACTTAAATTTAAAACATAAAAACAAAGCAATGAGAGTTTGTTATATTCTTGGCATAAAGTAAATGGGAACATTATTTTTACATTCATCAATTTCCTGTTTTCCCATCTTTTTCCATCTTATGTTCATAATCAAGTGAATTTCTTAGTGTCCTTCATTAAGTCATTCATCCTGGCTTTGAAGCAATAGTGGGAAGGCGAGGTTTCCCCTTTAACTTTTGCTGCCAAACCGTTTTCATCCTATGGAAGTCCATTCTTCGATAACTTGTGGAAATGAGTTAAAGGAATGCTGCTTCCACATGTTCCCTTGCTGGAAATACGTTTGTTTGTGTTCAGTGGATACTGGAGCCACATTACTTTTCCATGTCCCCTTGTTCTTATGCAGGGTCTCATGTCCTTTGTCACGCTAAACGTGCTCTTCGTCCAGTAGGCTGTTATGGAGTTTTGCCATTGCATGTTAGCATAAGAGCAATATAAAAAAAGTTTTTAATGAAGAAAGTTGCAAGCTGGAATGAATGATTTTAAATGAAGAAAGTTAATGTTTAAGCAGTGTGGGGCAGTGTAGTTCTGTGTTTGATTGTACTTCCATGGAATGATTCCTGTTCCTCTTCCCTTAAACCAGGTGAAGGAATTTGACTCGATATCCCGCCTGGACCAGTGGCTCACCACCATGCTGCTGCGTATCAAGAAGTCCATCCAGGGGGACGGGGAAGGCGATGGAGACCTCAAGTGAAGCGCTGTGTCTCTGTGGCATGCCGCTGAGTCCTCTTTAGTTTCGTGTTAGGGCCAGTGATCCTTATGGGATGCCCATTCAATGGCTTCATTGTGTTGCACACGAGCCTGATGATGTGTGTGTGTTTAAGCCGCCATGTGTGTCACCGTGCAGCGGATGGGTGGGCGGCTCCTGTGTGTATTGCGAGTGTGACAGGCTGTTTCCCGCTTGTCAGTCCCCAGAGTTTTCCGAGAACTGCTTCCGAATCTTACTCCTGTTCTTTTGATACGTGCAGAGCTCCTGTTTAATTTTGCCACATATTTTTATGTCCTTTGTCCTGGACTTGAGTACCCAACCCAGTTCTAATAGATGCTTTGCATGTTCTCCGTGAACTTGCACCTGGATGGGTTCTCTGAACGTGTGTGTTTAGTGTAGGATCGTTGTTAGGAGCGCGTTTATGACTTTCCTCGTGAGAAATTATTTATCCTCTTTGTTGTCTTGTGATTCTTTTGATGGTGCTAGTGACCAGTTTCTTTGCTTTTTATATCGTTCTGTAGGTAATGTGCATGTGAGAATTCAGATCAGCCGGGCCTGCCAGCCGCTTACGGTGGGAAAAGAGGGAGCTTCCTGGCACTGCCTGGCTATGTGTGTGGATGCGTGTGGAGGTGGGCCTGATCTTACATACAAGTGCACACACATGTAAGATCTGGCAGACTTGGGCGTTTTCCTTGCCTGGAGGTGGTGTCCACTTCTAGTTGGGGTGGGACCCTTGCTTCATCTTATAGGAAGGTGTTTGAACTGGCACATCCCTCTACTTCTGTGTTCACACACTTTTCCACGCTGAGAGGGCACCTCGTGTGCCCTCTCACATACATGCTCACCAGGGCTGGGAGGTTATCTCGGTCGAAGCTTGTGTGTCATTAATTTTAATTTTTAATTGTGTGTCATGTTCATTTTATCCATTAATTGGATGTGATGGGCTTGGTAGGCTGAGTACGGTACAGAGGTTTGCTGTGCTGAGTCAGGAAAAGAGCCCCAGCTAGCTTCTGAGGGGACCTGCGCTTAGCCAATGGAGTTGTTTTAGCTTGTGTGTTTGAATTCTGTCCTATTATTTTGGCTTATATATGTGCTCTGTTGACCTGTGAACTTGATCTCTGCGCGTTATGTTATGTGCTGACATCGTACTTTAGACGTGGTCTTGTTTCCTGAATCTCCTGTGTCCATATTTTTAGGCATAAATGATTTATGTTTGATGTGTGTTAATTGCCAGGTAATGACAGTGTTGACAGATAAGTGGAATTTCCTGTGCCCTGTCAACGTTAGCTGGTATTTGAATGGTGTTTGCATTTTTGGATGGTCCTCGACTGGGATTGGTAGCTGCTGTTGGGCAGAAATAGAGGGTGTGCCCAGGCTGAGGGCTGAGCGGGGAGGAAGGCTTGGGGATGGGGAACAGGTCCGTCTGGGATGAAGCAGAAAGTGGCAGGAAAGGAGGCTAAGAAGGGCCAGCTGGGACCCGGTCATGGAGCAAGCCCTGTGGGCAGCCGTGAGGATTCGGTGGCCGTAGTTGCGGGGTCACTTGTGCAGGCTGGGCTGGGGGAGAGGCAGGGCAGTGATGTCACAGTGTTGGCTGAGGGCAGCAGGAACGGACCAGGAGACGCAGGCGCTCTGACCTGGGCCCTGGCATCCGATGAGGACTCCTTCCTTCCTTCAGAGGTCTGGGATTCTTAAAAGAAAGCTGGCTGTCAGTTACGGTACATTTGGGGATGGAGCCGCTTGGTACTTCTTCGCTTCCTGTTGGAACTATGAAAAAACGCTTAGAGAGAAAAGTGGGGTTTTGTTGCTCTACCTAATCCAGTGCCAACCGGCCAGAAGCACTTGGGTGAGATGAGTGTGGGGCCTGTGTCCTCCGGCTGCAGATCTGTCCCACCTGAGGGGCTGTAACCCTCGCCGCCAGCGTGTGCGCTCTGTCGTTAGTCTGGAAGGTTTGTTCCCACTTGTTAAAGGAACCTGGTCTGACCATGTAAAGTAAAAAGCAAATGATGTCTTTTAAGGCCATTTATTAGCTTTTCATCCTGCACCCCTGATAGAAGACCTGTGGTTTTGAGAAATAGTATTGGCAGCGTTTTGTCACATCAGTTAGAGTTGCTTGTGTTGAAATGAACACTGGGATCAGTGCCTGGGTTAAGATGTTTTTGTTTTTAATATTTCACGTGAAAAAGAGTAAAATATAATTGTAATGGCTAGAGCAGACCTGCCAGAACGTAACAGGAAAATGAGCAGAAAAAAGTCCCATTAACAGTATCCAGACTTTCTCCCTTGAAGTGTTCCATCAAAGTGGGCAGTGCTGTGACTCAGAGCCCGGGTCAGGTTTCCAGGACTTATAGATCGTTATTTATGAACAAAGTATAATGACTATTTATGTTACAGTCCTTGTGTTTTAGCAGATCGTGTTTAGTTCATTGTCAGAATGAGTTAACATTTCTTACAGGAAAGCTTTGCTTTTTGTGGCAACGTTTTTATAGCTCATGTGAATTCCTTTTTTATTTAATGATTTGAAAACAGTGTTCTTGCAGTCGTGACCATGTGTGATGATGTCCCTGTAAACCTTTATTGTTTCCTCTGATACTGTGCATTTAAGATGCCCAGAGGCAACCCCCGTGGCTTTCTCAGAGCCTGTGGCACGCAGCCTGCCTCCCGGGGCCCCAGCCTGGCACGGCCTCTCCTCCCCCGCGCTGTCGGGGAGGTTGTATTATGAGAACTCATCCTGTGATGATAAATCCACCTTCGCAAAGAGCCTGTGTGTTTCACGTGAACCTGTACAGTAAATAAAGTCGAAGTTGTGAACGGTATGGTGAGTTTCCTGGTTGGTTTGCACAGGTCGGGAGTGGCTTCCTGTCCTGGAAGGTGTCCCCCGGGGTTCAGGGCAGTGGGCAGCAGCCGTCCGGGCTCTGCAGCTCCCCGTTCCCATCCCTCCTGCTGCCTGGTCAGGGATCTCACTGGCAGGCTTGAAGGAGGAGTGGCCCCTAGGAGACCTCAGAGCGGGAGGCCGGGGGCCCGAAGCCCCATCTCCCTTGGTGGAGCCACGTTGACTTGGTGCTGTCAGCAGGCCTTGTTCAGGTCCCTCAAAGATCATTTGAGGCAAATTCAGAATGAATGGTCGAACAGGCCGTCCCATCTAGGAATTCTGCCAGGTTGTTGATATTCAAGGTTACTTTCTCATTCAAATGTCTCTTCTGTTTCCTAACAGAAGCTCCCGTGGTGGGTTTTGCCAGCCTCGGTGAGGGTCCCAGAGGCCCGTGCAAACTGGTGGAGGGAAGTGGGCAGTTCCCGGGGCTCAGCTGGGGGGTGACGGATGTGCCAGGCGGCCCTGTGCCCGCATCCATCTGCCCGTCTTGGTGCCTGTGGACAAATGGACTTTCGCCTGAAATAATGTTAGAGTGACAGGAACACCATCAAGTTCAGTTAAGGGGGCAGGCACTTGCTTGGTCTCAAAAAATGTCCCTGCTCTGGCAAGATATACAACAGGTTAGAATTAAATGATAACTTACACTCAAATTGGTCAGTTTAGATGATCACCTTTGGCAAAACCACATTTCTGTGAAGATCACCTTTAATAAAGGTTTTACCCCACCACTTGGCCAATTTTGTTTTCAAACCGTACAACAAATTTTGGTTAAAAGCAGAGGCAGGGGAGCTTTGGAGTCTGGGCTGAGGGCGTCTCCCACACGATGGTTGGAAGGCGTGAAATCGCCGCCTTGGTGTGGCCTGACCTGATCGTCTGGGGCTGACAGTCACGTGGCAACAGAGCACCTGGATGGGGAGAAACGGAGACGCCCCACAAATCCCCGAGGTGAGATGCATCTTCGGCAGGGTTTGGGGCGGCAGCCCTCTTGTCCCCTCCCGGGAAGCAGAGAAGTGACCGTAGATGGAGGAGCCTCTGAGGCACAGAGTCACCGTGGCTGCAATGAGGCTGGGCCCCTCCCCGCCGCTTGGCACCAGCTACCGAGGCCGAGCGCGTGCGGGGCCAGGCCTGTCCCGTGTCAGGAACACACGTGCAGTGCACGGAGGTGGCGAGACTCCAAGGACCAGGGAATTAAGCTACCTGTACGAATCAGGAATCTTATTTCTGTAGAACCTGAATTCTAATAATGGAAATAAACTTACACTTGCGAAACTATTTTTACAAAACATTTATTAACACATTAAAGTTTTCTGTAGAATTTCTAAAGAAACAAATTCAAGACAAAAATTATTCCGATAGGTAACAAAATAATTATTTAAATTTCTTCTCATTAAGATGACTTTACCCCAAGAAACAGTTCGTTAGCCGGGCAGGTTCATTCTCCTTTCGAGAGTAAATTGTGTGTGAGAGTCACTGTTTTGTTCTGTGAACACAAGTGGGTCACGCTGTCACAGCTGGAGGTGGAATCGGTACTGCCACCTGCAGCCCGTGTCAGCACCTGGGACACCTTCGACACCTTCGGTACCTTCGGTGTTGACGTCACCGTCTCATGGGGAAGAAAGTGTCCTCGGTCTTTTTCTGGCATCTCGTGCAGCTGTGTCTTCTTCCCGGACTTGCATAAAGTACCCTTCCTCTTAGAAAACGAGGAAACAGCAAGTGTAATAAATTAAATGTAAGAAAAAGAGCAACTAGTGACAATTCCCCTTCTCTTTTTACCTGGGTCACGTGTGACCCACCCTCACCACTGGATCAAGAACCAGGCTGGGTAAGGACAGCGGAATTACCAAAGGCCAGCATGAGACAGAGGTGCATTTAAGACAAGGTTGGCGGTTCCATGGTCCACTCTTAAGGCTAATCAAAGAGGAGTGTACGGAGGCTTTTGGTCCCTTTTGCCAAATTCACTCATGCTCCCGGGGGAACACGTGCGCCAGTGACTTGCCTGTGTCAGCGTCTTGACATGTTAATGAGAAATGCTGGGTTTCTGAAAATCACAGAAATTGTCAAAAGAACCTAGCAAAACTACTAGTATTCTGTGTTCTTAGATTGGCTACCACCACCTCACTGCTACTCGTGGATAAAATAACTACACTATGTTTCAAGTGTTCTCAAGCCCCTGGCTTAATTTTTCACACCTCTTTGCAAAAACTACTATGCTGTTTTCTGCTAGTCTTTGGTAGGACAGCTTTTTTAAATTGGATTTTTAGAAATGAAACAAACCTGTAGCCACATCTCAGGTCATTTTATGACAAACTTCCTAGTTGCATGTGTGCTGTGAGCAGCTACAAGTGTTCAGTTTAGTGCCTACAAACAGGGGGGCAGAGGGGGACAAGTGCAGTCATCTGTCTCTTTAGCCCCATTCCAGTGTCCCAGAGCACCTGACTGGCTTCAACAGGAAAGAAACAGCTGAAAATAAATATATGGTCCCAGTTTTACTTCAGGTTGGTAGAAAAATAGCTTTAAAGTATCAGAAATAAACTTCCACGAAGCAGCTGAGCAGTAACCCCAGCCTCAGGAATGTCAAGGTCATCAAGCATTAGGGTAATCCCACCAGAATTAAGTGAGGTCATGTTAACTGCCTTGTTTGCTGATAAAGTGTGGCTGAGACCATGCAGATCAGGATTTCTAAGGGAAAGCATGAGAAACGGTTTGATAGAGACGTGCAAGTTAGCAGAAATTCAAGAAACTGTGGAAGCCATCCTTGCCCACTTCTTTGCCCACAGTTCTTCTTGACCCCTGACGAACGCTCGCGTCCAGCCCTTATGCGTGCAGGTGCAAGGCTGGGACCGCGGGGCAGGTGACCCCGTGCTCTAGTCCGTGTGAGTCAGAGAGTGGAGCTGTGTGGGCCCACGTCCGTTTGCGGCGTCAGCTCGCTAAGCTCGTTGATGGTGGCGGCCAGCAGCGTGTCCTGGGACCCCACGGGGCCGTCCGACTTACAGGCCGGGTCCGCAGGACTGTCATCGTGCACGGCAGGCATGCTGCCCTGCACAGTGGCCAGGGTGTGAAAATGGCCATTTTCTGCGAAAGACAGCAATTTATCAGAGAGTTTGGATGGCGTGTACTCTTCATCGGGCTGCTCAGTCTTGTGCCCATCGCCATCCTTGGGAGAGCTGTCCACGATGACGAGGAAAGACTTCCATGGAGTTGTCTTATCATGGATCTGCGGACCAAATGCAGAACAGAGAGGTCACCCACTGTGTCCCTAACCAGGATCTGCAGAGCCCCCAATTCACAGTCACTGGTTACCAAGTACAACAGCCTTCTCCAACCGTCAGACACGTGGTCCCTGCCAGAAATAACTCAGGATGCCCCGGGCCCTGCTTCACACCCCCCTTGGCCACCCTCGCTACAGGGGAGGGAGAGCCCCGCCTTCCCCTGGGACCCCCTTACAGACTGAGGGCCTCAGGGAAGGGGGGCGGGTGGCTCTGCTGTCCGGCAGCCGTCCGTGGGGGCCAGCCTGGCCGCTCACCGAGGTGTGCCGCCGGAGCGTGGACTTGTCGGTGAATGTCCGCCCACACGCATTGCACATGAATGGCTTCTCCCCCGTGTGGATCCGATGGTGGCGCTGGAGCGCGTTGAGCTGCGTGAACTGCTTGCCACACTGGTCACAACAGTAGGGCCGCTCCCCTGGGAGGGAAGGGACGGAGGACACGAGAGCTACCGGCTGCTCTGGGCCGCCCGGCGTCCCGAGCTGCCATGGGGAGGGTGACACGGGCACGAGCAGCCGACCCAGGAGCCCCAGGGGTCCGTGGCCTCACCCACAGCTTTCCAGTAGTAAGTGACCCTGCGCGGGTGTGAGTGTTCACTAGCACGTGCAGATCACCCCTAATTCTAATCTCAAGGTGTTCAAAGGTTCACACGTCCACATCCATGTTCACACATTCACACCTTTCCAGTTTGTCAGAGCTAGAAACTAGACACTCAAAAACGTTTAAATGCTATTAGGATGCACGACTTAAAGCTAAATTCCAAATAATTTTCCAGAAAATCTAAAACCTTCGGGATATTTTCTTGCCACACTGACCTCCCTTCTCTGGCAACATTCCAGCCATACCTGTGTGGACTTTGATATGCTGGTAAAGCGAATTCCGCTGAGCAAAAGTCCTGAAACAAACTTCACATTTAAAGGGTTTGGACCCAGTGTGGATCCTGTTGTGATGTTTTAAATACTCCTTGGAAGCGAAACTCTTGCCACACGTTTCACACATGAAAGGCCTCTCACCTACATGAAGACATGAGACACGAAGTTAGAAGAGACACACGCGCTAGAACAGGCGGAGCATGGGGTCCACCCTCCCAAGTGCCCTGGCAGGCAGCGCGTTCTTTTCTAGTTAAAACTGTCATAAAATATCTCTTTGTGTCCAGTGCCTGCTACCTGCTGAAAGCTGGTGTAAAATGTCCCTGGAAATCCCAAGAAAGATCCCAGTAGATGAGAATTAAAGAGCGCATTCAGCCAGCTCACGTTTTGGAAATTCAGTCATCCCAAACAAGAAAAACAGTTCGACAACTGGTTTGGTGGAGCAGCTGGACTTTTTCACAGGGCTTCTGTGGGTCTCCGTCAGAACAGAAGCCCCTCTTGAAGGGAGAGGAGTGAGCAGTGGACACGCGGGGCTGTCCTGGAGCAGCTCCCAGCCGCCTGGGGTGGGGTCAGGGCAAGGAGGGCGTCCACCCTTCACGCTGTGCAGTTGGGGCCCTGAGGGCCCACAAACCAGACTCCTCTGTCAGGCGTGCCCCAATTTCTCAAACATCAAAACAAAACTACTGGCTTTAATAAAACCCAAATATATTAGCATGTTCATCCAATGACCGACTCTTAACTTAATCCTTCGGTGTGGCCTGACCTCCCCCGACCCCAGTCTTCTATCAGACACCAATTCTGCTCATTTTAGT